CTAGTGTTTTTCTAGACCTCCTCTCACAATTCACCGGGAATTCACACAATAAATTTACCAATTTGTTCTTAGAAGAGAGAAACACAAAGGTCAGTTGCATCTTTTGCACTCCAGTTTTTTTTTGGTAAATTTCATGTGGGGTCAGAAATATTTTGATATTTACAATAAAATAAAATAAAATAAAAAATTATACATGCTGATCACATGCTATAACATTTGAAGGTTATCCACTTCATTGTGACAGCATATGATACCTTCTTCGGTCTCTGAAAATACCCAATTGCTAGCTCACGCAAAACATCTCTGGGTGGTGCTTATCCTTGATCGGCACATGGTGTCATAATCAATGTCGATAAGTAGCATATTTTTTTTTTTTCTATTTTCTTTTCTCTCTCATCCACCCACCCAAAAATAAAGTTATAAAGTTATAAAGGATAAAATTAAAAAGAAAAGCCATAAAAAAATTAAAACAAATACAAAATAAAACAAAATGAAATCACAATTGAAATAATAAAAAAGATTAGGATATTTATTTTGCTTTTCACCCTTCTTCTAATTGATTTTCTTTTCAATTTCATACTTCTTTTTTGTTTTAATTTGGTCTTCTTCTTTTCATTATCATTTCTTTGGGTTTCATTTATTTTCTTAATTAATTTTTTTTTTAGATTCATCCCTTATTGTTTGATTTTATTTGATTTTTATGTCAAATTTAATTATTATTTTTTCAACTATGGTTTTTCAACCCAAACCAATAGTTGATCTTGGTGAAATCCTAGGTCATAGATCAAGTGAGCTAACTAAGGTTACCTAGATTAATTTAGTCTAAAACAAATATTCAATGGGTTTTAAAACCTTTTCTCAAAGAAATTGCATTTTTATTTTTTTAATCATGGTTTTTAAACCTAGTTTAAAGATTACCTCCCGAGCAAATCCTGAATCACATGTCAGATGGGTTGGGTAGGGTTACTCGGGTAACTAAATATTTTATTTTACAAACATCTAAAAGTGATATTTTTTTTTTTTTAAATTTTACAAAAACAAATTCAATTGATTTTAAGATGGATTTAAAAAAAAAGAATTTAATGAAAAAGTTGGATCCATATTTAATGAAAAAGTCGGATCCATATTATTTTAATCATGATTTTTAAACCCAGCTCAGGGTTGACCCTAAGCATCTCCCACATCATAGGTTGAGTAAATTAATCAGGGTTATTCAGATTGACTAATTTTTTTATTCTACAATAATGTTAAAATTACATTGTCATAACAAATAAAATCAACGAGTTTTGAAAAATTTTAACAAAAAAAATTACTCCTTATTCTTTTTATTATAGTTTTTAATTATTATTATTTTCTTGGTTTCATCCCTTAATATTTTTTTTATTGAGGATTTTGCTTTTTGATTTTTTTAGGTTTATCTTCTATAATATAATATTGGTTTTATAATTGAGGTCACGAGGTTTGAAAGTGAGCTTTGATGGACTTATGTTTTTTTAGCATATATTTTTTTTTAAAAAATATTTTTCAACGTTTATGTGGTTACAAATTACCTTTTGTTATTTTTTCACTTTTTTTCTTTGGAGTTGGTCATCATAAATTTGATGAGTTAACCTGAATTTACTCGAATCCTTTTCTGTTATCACTTTTTTTTATATCTTGAATGTAAATTTCTTATTAATTCGGTTTATCTCTTCTCATTATCTTTTTTTTTTCAAAAAATATTATTAGATTAGTAAAGGTTGTTAAACCCGATTGACTCAATGATCTAATTCTCTAAATTTTTTTAAATTTCAAATTTTACATGAAGTTTTTTCACATTTCAGGAAAATATAGTATAGCCCACGACACAACAGAAACCATCTATCTAGTGTGCTTGAAAAGAGAATGTAATACAACCTCAATAAATTATTAACATTAATGGAATAATATATTTATTCCATCCCAACTTAAATTTGAAGTTTAAATAATACGTTGACTACTTAATAAATTTTTATAAACTTTAATTTATAGAGGTTCAACCAATTTCTGTTTTTATTTGGAAGGTAGGTCCTCGCGTTCGGGTTGAAATGCATGGTTTTTACCGGAATCAAAGCTTAAAAATCAGGACATTTTCGTTAATGAAATCAATTGAATGTATATAAGAGCATAGGCTAATTAAATTAATTATAAAATCGTACCAAACCATCATCTAACACTGTCCTGCATTACCGCATATCACAATGAATGTGTTTTATGAATTTCACCTCCATTTAATTACCGTTAGTAAATGCACTTTATCCGTGATCAATTTTGATGAGTTTTAATTAATTTCTTAATTGGCTTTTTACCATTACAAGCAATGGTACAGAAGAAAGATTTGGATTAGATTTTTCCAGGAGAGAAAGAGTACTCATATCAGTCGAATTATGACTCATGAACATTAAAAAATGTTAACGGCTAGTAAAATCATCTAACATTAGACCTTGCAATAAATTATTGATGTGTACACGGAAGGGATGAGAGATGTGGCAATGGCAATCTCCGGCAAGGTTTCATTACAGGCTTTAGGGCACAATTACTATATTGCCCCCTATTTTATCGTGGATTGATTTTTTTTTTAACATAAAAATATATAAGAAGTATAAAAAAATTTTAATAGTGTTTTTAAATTTGACAAAGTTTGTTGATTTTAAAACTTTTTAACTCAATTTTTTATCTGACTTAAGTTTTTAATTAAATTATATAAAAATTTAACTTAAATCGATCAATTTAATAGGTTCAAATGCAATTTTGATGATCGATAAAAATATAATTTAGTTTTTAAAGGAACTTCAAGATGATATTTTTTAAAATAATATTAAGACAATGTCATGTTAAATTGACTTTATCTCCCTAGCAACCCGGGTTATGGTTTTTATTGAGTTTAATAATTTTTTTTATTTAATTATATGATAAAAATAAATATTTATAAAATTAAACACCAATATAAAAATAGACACTTATTAGAGATAATTATCTCTATAAAACAGAAAAAATAAAAAATACAATCTATTTCCTAACTAATCCAATATTAAATAATGAAATAAAAAAAAGATTAAAAACAATTAAATAACCTAAAACAATATATATTATCATTGGATAAACTCGTTAAATTTGTGAATTGGGTAAGTCGAGCTAGTACGTCAAACATATGAACTGTGTTATGGACTCTATTGAGATTATAATTTTTTAAAAAAACTATTTTTTATTTAACTAAATAATAACAAAAATTGATAATTACAAAATCAAACACTAACTCAATACCGAGATATTTTTTTAGATCATAATAATCTCATAAAAAGCTAAACGAAACAAACTATAAAACTAAACTCTCAATCAATCTAGTATCCAAGGATACTAAAAAAAAAACTAATTTTAAAAAGGTTAAATTTGCTAACTTGCGAACCAAGTCAATCAACCAAACTTATAAATAGGTTCATGAATTTTATAAAGTTTAAAAAAAATCATATATTCAAGAAAAGAAAAATAACTTCGAAAATTTTTATAGCAATATATAGTGTTTTTTTTATAAAAAAAAACAGCAATGCTTTCTACAATAACATAACCAGCCTCTGCTGAAGTGATTGGCGGTTGGAATTTTTATGGATATTTGCTATTTTAGTAACGAGTTGAGTCACTAGGAATTTTGCTTACATCAATCCATCACGATGGAATGTGCAAGTTCTATCCACAACAGTCTTCTGTAGCACAATGATTAATTTAAACCATTCCTTTTCAAGTTAGATGTAGACCGTTTGTTTGCCAAGAATTAGTTTTCATGTTTAGACCGTTTGTTTGCCAAGAATTAGTTTTTATATTTAATAATTTTATAAAAAATAAATTAAAAATAAATTTTTAATATTTGAATATTTGCTAAGTCATGAAAAATAAAATAAAAAATAACTTATTAATATTTTTATTTTTAAAAATTTATTAAAAGAATAAGAAGTAAAACTAACGGATAAAAAAACATTAAAATATAGAATTTAAAAATATAATTATTTAAATAAAATAAAAAACAATTAAAAATAATAGATAAAATAGTTGAAAGATAATAAAATTAAAAATATTACAATTTCATAAATTATTTTAAATAAAAATAAACTGCAAACAAAGAAATATAGATCAAATATGGTAAATAAAATTTTTAATTAAAAATACAATAAAAAATTTCACATAACAATAAAAAACTATAGATAAAAATTTATATAAAAATCAAATTAACTCACATTTTAATAAAAAAATAAAAAAAATATTCAAAATAAAATATATAACAAAAAAATAAAGATTTAATTTAATATAATTAATAAATAATAAAATATTTTTAAAATTTTCATAATTTCTAAAAAGTTTTTTTTTCAAAATAAAATAAAATTTTCATAATTTCTAAAAAGTTTTTTATTCAAAATAAAATAAAAAATACGTTTTTAAAAATCAAGTTAAATTTTTATTTAACTGATTTTTTTTTTCATTGACTAGAAAATGATAAATAAATACATAAAAATTTTAAAAATAATTTTCATAAAACCATTTTATAAACCTATAAACTAAGAAGACTTTTTAAGCCAATAAACTAACTTGGAAAAATGTATGGATCACTAAATTATTGAGTCAATTAATGTTTTTAACTAAAATAATATATTTTTTTTTATTTTAAAAAATCTCTTGATATTGACCATTGAATTTGAACCAAGTTATTAAAAATCCAATCAAGTCAATTAAATTTTAAGACGCTGATATCTTGTTTAATTCAAATAAAATAAAAACCTTGGCTGAACCAGACTTCAAGGCTAGCATCTTTTCAATTAGCTCACAAAAATATGCAGTTAGATAGCAGGTGGGAGAATTGTTGAAGACGAAGTTGAATTAAGTCATCTAATACTACAGGTTCGGTTGCATAAACTAAACAATGAGACCCCAAATCACATTCAAATCAGAAAGATTCCAGTAAAAACAAAATAAAAAATCAGAGAGTTGCAATCTATCACCAGCTCTTGCTGCATTTTCAAAGCATGATCAATATTATACTGTAAACTGATTAGGTCAACTTATCTGGATCTCTCCTAAAATCATAAACTATTGACGTGGACCAATTCAACAGGAATCAGACGCATTTCCTGGCAAAGAGGTGGTGGAGGATAAATAAATATCGGAGCTATCAGTTACCGCATAATACAGCACCAACAACAAAAGATTTGAGAAACCAAGGGAGGCCCCATCGCCATTAATGTTCAGGGAAAGTACAGCTTATTTAACACAAAACACTACAAAAGTGTAGATGGGACATGGAAATTACAGGAAAGCAAAGGCTCAAGCCAAGTAAAGAGCAGAAAAAGGGACTATCCTCGAAGAAGACTGATGCCAAATGAAATGGTGCACCCGATAAGCCCCAACAAAGCCAAGAATCCATATTTCCTGTGCACCAGCAAAAACAAAATCACTACCATTACGGTATTAGGGGTTCCCCCTCGTGAATCTACCTTAATAAGAATGTCCACAGTTGCAACCGACACTATAGTTAATCAGGAATGGCTGGTACGAGCACTTGTGAGCATCTATGTTTCAGCCATAGGATCAAATCAACACTTGAAAACTAAGAGAGTGTGCAAGAGTGGCTACCAAAAAAGTGATTTTTCAACACAATCAACAGCTTAAACATAGCACATAGGTGCTCAGACTAGCCATTCCCTTGTTAATCCTACACATATGTGACATAAAATTCACATGATTATGTGCACGAGTCATGCATAGGCTGACTGGAGTTGATGAAATTCATAACTAGACGCAAATCCTATATGTCAAATGTCAATGTGATTTGCACATTTATATGCTTCAACATGTGTTATGAACAGAATGAAATTGATCAAAATCATGTTCTTCCGTATCTGATTTCTCAAACAAGACAGAATATGGCAAACAGTCATAGAGAGGGAGGGAGAGAAAGGGAACAAACCCAATATTAAGACGGTTTTTGGGATCTCCAGTAGCATAGCCAGTGAAATAGAAATACCGAGTCACAAGGAAAAGAGAACCAAGGGCAGCACAAACACAAGGATGCCTTATCCCTCCTAACACCATCAGCAAAAAGAACACTGGCATCATTTCCAGGGAATTCTGATGTCCTCTCTGCACCAAAAAACCGAAAAATAAATAAATCAAAATCCACCTTTCAAGAAACCAAACCAAACCAAACAAAAACAAGAAAAGAAAAGGCAGGGAGGGAGGGGAAAGAGGACCTGAACACAGTTGAAGAGCTTGGCATCTTTGTTTTCTGATTCAATGGCATAAAGGGTTGGATAAGGGACCTTGTATTTCTTGCGAGCTGAACCAACTTGAAACCCCATCCAGAAATTGAGAAAGCAATAAGCAACAAGAACAAAAACTACGTAACCATATTCTTTAGGGAACATCTCTACTCCAGCCATGATGTCTGATTTTGGAACTGTAAGGAACAGAACCTACTTCTCTTATAGTGCTAGCTCTGAGCCGATGATGTTGACCTTTTCAGTTTGTGCTCGTGTTTCTTTTTTCTAGAACGTTCTGGCTTTTTCTTCAATGCAAAGGCAAAGCCCACATGGATTAGTTTGTGCAAGTTTAAATGTCTTGAAGAATTTTTCAAAACAATTATAAGGCCTTTCTAGTTTTGTCCTGGTTTTAAAGCTTGCACAGCCCATTGTTTTGTCTAACTAGTAAACCTGCTTGGTTATGATTTTAATGTGACTATTTTTAAAACATTAAACTAGATCTCATCTTAGTTTTGATCTTGTTAACTAATTTTAGGTTACTTGTCAGATTAGTCAGATTAATACCAACCTAATTCAGCATCAAACTTGGCTTAGGTTTTAATGGGTCATTGATCCATCAAATAAAATTGAGTTAAAAAACTTCCACGAATCAATAGAACTATAATAAATTCTATTGTTTTTTTATTCTAATATTGAAGTTAGCATTAAAAAAAATTATTGAATGCATCACAAATGAATTAAAAAAATCGCTCATAATATTCAAAAGGTTATTATCAATACAAGAAAGTATGTTTTTAAAATCACCTGTAAGAACTTGTAAAAGAAACCAGATAAAAAATACTCAGTTTATATTGATATATAAATTTGGTATAAGAACATGCTTGTCATTAAATCACAAGAGAACTACCCACAAGCAATGCTTAATTATTAGATTAGGTTGAGTCATGAAGCATCCATTAATGAATTTCTTTAATCTCTTTTTAATAAACAATTAAAATGATATTGACCAGCTTGCATGCATTACAACCCATCCCTACCAAATTATTAAGCGTTTCGATCCAGAGAGAACACCCACTAGTCAACTGGGCCAAATGTCGAGGTTACATTAAGAACGAGGATTACTTTTAACTAGCATTTCGAAACGCGCTGTAAAAATTATGTTTTTAAATTTTTTTTATTAAGATTTAAATTTTTATATATTTTAAATTATTTTAATATAAAAAACATTTTAAAAATAACAACCCGCTAAAAAAGAAAAGAAAAAAGCACCTGTCAAATCTCAGTCACGCATTCACAAGCTTGAGGTCTATCAGGAGCTCCAGTTTCGTGGAACACAGAGTCCCATAAAACATGACCATCAATCAAGTGTAAGACAGTTTCTGCTTCCATAAAGCGATTTTTTTTCACATGACCATTAATCAAGTGAAACACAGTTTCTGACACTCAAGAGTCCAAACATGGGTACTTTTTCTTGAAGATCGCATTGACCGGGGCAAGTCCTAGTGAAAGCAAGAACGACTACAAGGGACTGGTATCATCAAACGAAGAAATAAATGGAAAAAACACAGGCCTCGAAGAAATCAACATGCTAGCAGGGTGTAAAATGGAAAAAGCTCAACGGAGCTGAAATAGACTACAATCCTTGTAAGAACAGAGCAATAGATTACTAATAAACAAAAACAGGAGCTACATATTGTGTCAAGTGCCAATATTTTGAACTTCCATCCATCTATGATATAAAATAACATCTTCTAAAGCAACAAACAAGATCAGACACTAAGCAAAAGTTATGAATCCTTGGAGCTTAGGATCACTTCTTGGACTTCTTAGTTCCCCTGTAAACAAAGCAAGAAAAGGAACAGTCAACATATTGGATTAAAACAACATGCTTTAGTCGAAGTGTGTATTTATGTCATATATGTGCTTACTCTGCTGGTTGAGAAACGGCAGCGGGTGGTGCAGCTACTGGCTTTTCTGCCCCAGGTCCCTGTACATAATTGCAATGAACAATCTCAACATCACATGTTATACAGAATAACCTGATATCTATGAACTTAGGCAGAAAGTAGACAGAATCTAATCTCATTTGACACAGAGAACATCATTAATGCCAAGTTCTGTGACTGTAAGGAAAGGACACCAAAGCACCAAACCAGGCATGAGGCATACAGCAATAGACATGGGCACAAAAGGGAGAACAAGGGTCTAAAGATTCATCTTAATTTACAACCTGGGGTGTTTGCGATTGCCATCTATTACTTGGCCTATATCAGGGAATTTAAACGTTTCAAAGCATTAACCATATTTATAACATTTGTCAGAGCTGAGCAATTCCACAAATTCAACCATCAAGAATCAGTTGATCAAGAAAATCAACAATGAATTCACTCATTCATCATCATCAAAGCACTATATATCTTACCATGGCTAATCGTTCTTCCCTCCTAGCAAATTTCCTCTCCCTGCTAGCCTTGTTCTTTGCCCGCTTAGCCTCAAATTGATCGGACAAAGTCTTCTCCCTAGCCTTCTCTGCCTTTGATTTGTGGATGCTTTCCATTAGAACTCTCTTGTTCTTGAACACATTACCCTTCACCTTCATGTACATGTCATGGTACATGTGCTTGTCAATCTTCTTTGACTCGCGATACTTGCGAAGAAGACGCCTTAATACACGCATCCTCCTCATCCAGAGGACCTTTGTTGGCAGCCTAGCTTCCCTTGTGCCCTTGCGCTTACCTGATTGATTTCAAACAAACTGAGTTAATGCAAGCTCCTACACACTAAACAATACATCAAAGAAACTAACCTGTTTATGCTTTTATAATCAACAATAATGAGAATAACAAGCTCGAATACAAGTATCCTAGTAAATCTAATTGAACAAAGAAAAATAGTTAAATACCATAGCCAGAGTGACGTCCCTTTCTCTTAGCTTCCTTCATACGTCGAGCACGGGACCGAGAGTGAATCTTAGTTGGCTTCCTGATAATGAAACCATCCTTCACAAGCTTCCTTATGTTCTGGCCTGTATTGTTACCAAACCACAAACACAAATTCAACAAATGAACGAACAACAAAAATCAAGGGCTACTTATAAATATTTTCAGGAATTGGAATCAATTCCATTCGATTTTGATTATCCATTTCAATAGAATTCAATTTCACATAACACATCAAACTGAAATAAACATAAACATAAACATAACAAACAACTAATAAAAAATAAACTGCAAAACCCTGATCTACAAGAAGTAAAATAAAGCCAAAAAAGACTCCAAAAATAAAATCAAACCAAACACTGATACATATTTCAATCTCCATAAATAAATTCAGCTTGAGAACATATTTTCTCGGATAGAAGGGTCTTCAAAAACACAAGCAATAATAGATTCCATTTCAATTTCATAACAACAAAACAACCACAAAATTAAACCTCAGAAATTAAAAAGAAAAGAAATTCTAAATTCATCGTAATTTTGAAGATTCATTTCAACATCAAAGAACCTAAAAAACTGAGACCACCCCGTAAAAAAATAAACAAAACTCACCAAGAAAAACAAAAAAAAGACAAAATGCTTAAAGAAAGAAGGGTTTCCGTTTTCATTACGTGAATTAGCCATGGAGATCTCATTGCCTTCATTCGGGTCAAGCCAAACTTTTCCTTTGCCACACTTTAGGACACTAGCTGCAAGTCGCTTTTGGAGTTTGACGGAAACCATCTCGGTTTCTTCCTTGAGAGCTGCTGTGGGCGAAAGGATTAGGCCAGGGTGTGTTTATGTGGTATTTATCCCATGGGACTTTCTTCCTCTAGGGTTTCGGGGTACTTGCGTTATTGGGGCAATGGGCCTTTGGGCTTTGAAGGATGATCGGTTGCTGGAAAGAGTGTTTAGAAGTGCAGCTAACTCATGTTTTTTTATAAAATTTAATTGTTTTATATTTTAAATTATTTTAATGCGTTAACTTTAGTAATATTTTTTTAAAATAAAAATATTTTAAAAAATAATTATAATTATATTCTCATACAGATCTTGAGTAGGTGACAATATATATATATAATTTTAGGAACAAGTGCATTGACTATGATTCTTTTTACAATTTAGTACATTTGTGGATTTTATAAATGAAGAGTTGAGTGCACAAAAACTTTTAGGGAGTTGTTTGTGGATGAGTTTATGTGATTTTAATAATGTTTTGTTATAAATGCAAACTTACAATTGAATCCATAAACTATTTTACAAGTCTCAATTGAAGCTCTAATTTATCAAGATTTTCAATTAAGCTATTTATTTGTTATGACCAATTCACACCAGCATAGATCCTTGCCACTCATTTGGTCATTTGCACCAAACAAGTCCCCCCATAGAAAAACACAAACAAGACATTTTATTTTCTTTTATGTACACATGTTTTTTTTTTTTGTTTACAATATAAAAGATTTAAATTATTTATTTTAAAATATGTTTGAGAATGTGGTAGTGTTATTTTTCAAAGTAATTTTTATTTAAAAATATATTAAAATAATATTTTTTAAAATTATTTTTGATATTGGTAGATTAAAATAAACTGATTATATTAAAATATTAATTTAAAATAATAAAAAATTATTTTTCAAAGTCACTTGTGAATCACAAACCTTCCTGGTAGTTATCATTATTTGCTACTTTCGCCACAGCTTGCATTCCATTTGGCAAGCCAATGTTCTGTTTAGTTTTGTCAGTTTATAGCCTGTTTGTTTACGCATTGCAGTTACGACAGCTGTGAGTTACCGCTTCGAGTCTTCTCTTACAGAAAACCATGTAACGATCTTCGCATGATTCCTCTGTGGCATTGAATATTTCTGAGATCATGTCATGTGATCTAACAGAGTTGTCCTTCAAGATACATCTTGGAGTTCTGACAGTTGACACCTCCAAATAAGTCCAAGATCACTGTAGCACACATCCAATGTTGTTGGATGGTGACAGTCTTTCTGTTTCTTGAAGATTGTCTGCTTGTTTGGATTATTCGCAGCAAAGTTATGCACCAACAAGATTGGATTTCATCAAAACAGGGCCTGTATCTGCTTTGTCCATACTTTATACCAGCTGATCACGCACGCAGGCACCGGTTGCTGGTGAGCTTACTGGCATGACTGGAGTTGCTTCTGCAATTCATGCAGGAGCTGAAGGGACTTATTAGGAGTTGTATCATATCTGAATTCGATAAACAACATTTCTGAGGACTGAAGGGCTTGTTTTCTGTGGTGTCAGAGATGTCCTTTTCTTCTTCCTTTTTATTATTTCGAGAGCCTAACAAAGACGT